AGATAGATAGATAGATAGATAGATAGATAGATAGATAGATAGATAGACAGTTGGATGGATGGATGGATGGATGGATATTTTTAGGAGAACATTCCCTGGGACTCTGGACTAAATGAGATGGAGCTGGGGAAGAGATTCAGATAAGGGCATAGAATCCATGAGTCCTGTTCCTCAATCAAACGATTAGCCCTTGTCCAGCCTCATTCTAGGGAAAAGGCAGTGGGAAACATGGAAGTTCAGGTTCTTGGGAAGAACAGAGCCTTTGTTCTTGAAATATCTCAGAAATGAGACAAGCTCTGGTTTCTAAGATAAAGAGAAGTCATGTAAGGGGAATAGTGGGAAGGTAGGAAGTGCAGGTGGGGACTATTCAAAGGAGAAAGAGGAAGAAAAAAAGGAAGAAATGTACCAATGTCCCAGGCTATAAGGTGGGAGCTAAGAATACAGGACTTCTAAGTTGTGTTTTTGGCTTTGTCTTATGAAAAGGAACCAAATATCTTATTTCAGTGGGATACTCTTGGTTTTAGGAAGCTACAGTCAATGGAATGATGCCTTAGGAAATCCTAGACAGAGTAGACTCTGTCCTAGGTACCCTTGAGAAATGACTAGTTTCACAAACAATCATACCTACATTAAGCTTGAAAAACATTGTTAAAAAAAAGATTCAATTCTTTTTGAAGTTTGAGGCTGTGGACTCCTTCACCTGAAAATACACACACACACACACACACACACACACACACACACACACACCCACACGCCTCTTCCAGCACATTGTCTCTAAGTTGCTTTATATTAGGAAAATGGGCATTTAAGGAAATTTCAGGTCTAAGGAGATTCCTTGGACCCATAGATCACTGAATCTCATTTAGATCCTCATTTCCTACTATATAAAATAAAGAAATTTGACTAAATAACACCTAGAGCCCCTTCCAGATCTAAAATCTTGATTATTTCACTTGGCTGGTACTTTTCTTACCAGTCTAGGTGCTTTGACTTGGATCTATGAGGAATAAGAAGTTAATCCCTAACCTGGCCCCTTAGTGGATAGTCAGAAATATGACCACTTTAGACTGACAGCACCTCATATCTTGCCCTCTGGGTCTCAGTTACCATCTCTTTTCTGGGAAGGAAATAGGGCTTAAAGATAGAAAGTCCTTGGAAATGAAACATATGGAAGAAATGGATATCTAGACCATAAGATCACATTTCTCCTAAAATCCTCTTCACCTCTGTTTCTCTTCAGTTCACTCCTACTCTCGACTCACAACCTACTTACTTCTTGATCTATTTCTAATGAAGAATAGGGGAATTCTTTATTTCTCTCTTTTCCTTACCAGACAAAAGGTGCTTGAAGTGAACGTGATCCCAATGAGGCCTGCAAAACCAGGAGAGAAAATCGAATTGGCATGTTCTGTTCAATCATATTTGGGAAATTGTGCTCTGGTAAGTGATAGACTTTAATGAGAGGTGAAAGTGCAGAGGAAATGTGGAGGTGAAAGAAAGAAGGGAGAAGGGAGTATAAAGTCTCATCAGGGCAGGTAAGTCATTACTTTGGTTGGGAACCTCCTTCAATCAACCCCTTATTGAAGAAAGAAAAGCAGAAAGGAGAATAATGAGAGTAAAGGATACAGGGCAGTGACAAGACATAAGAGGAAGTATGGGAACTGAGTGAGCTGTTCTAGGACTCAACACCTCTCCATCCATTCCCATCCCCTATAGTCATTACTAAGAGTAGGGGAAGACAGGATATGAAGAAAAGAGTCATCCCCCTTTTCACAGAATCAGTAGGTAGAAGTAGATGAGTGGAGAAGTGTGTAAATTGGGAGGAAGAAAGTGTTCAGACTTTCATAGTTCCTCATGGATAAACAATGTGCCCCCTTGGAGGAGTGTATCTTTCTATATCATTAAGTCTCCTTCTTCCCAGGGTTAGGTGGCCCACCAACAATCAGCAAACACAGTGGCACCCAGGACAAAGCCTGAAGGGAAAAAAAAACTAAAGTTGGTCAAGTTTGTAACTTCAAATCATCCTGTTTTGGCAAACTTTCCCTTTCAACTATAACGCATTTCATCCATTATGAAAAGTAACTCATCTCTGTAAGCTTGTCTTCATTGGTTTGGGGCTTTTTTGCCATTTTCACTGCTCTTCAGGGGTCCCAGTAGAATGATCAACTTAGAGATGTCATGCCTGGGTGCCTCATGGCCAATCTCTCCTCTCCTAGAGTTTATTACTACCATGCATTTACCACCTTTCATGTACAATTGCCTGACCAGTATTCCATTCCCTCATGGATCTTTTTTCTGTGTTTTCAAATTTAGCATCTGAAACAGTGCCTTTTCCACATGGGCACCATGAAAAACTAATCAAGATAGAGTAGATCAAAACCAAAACTCATGAGCCCTAATGGAAGTGCTTATTTTTACCAGCTGTTCAAGAAGAAACTTTAGTTTAAATAAAAAGCAATTTAGTCAGGCAAGATAGTAAATAAAGTTACAAGAAAGGATGTGTGTTCCCCACACAGGAAGATTTCTTAACAAAAAGCAATCCCTTTGTGAGAGATCTAACATCCAGCAGACATGAAGTCACATGTTTCAGCTAGTTGGAATAGTGGACAGAGTGCAGGAATTGGAGTCAAGAGGATCTTAATTTGAATCACACCTCAGACACTGATTAGCTGCATGACCCTGGGTAAGTTACTTAACCTCTTTTGCCTCAGTTTCCTCATCTGTAAGATGGGGATAAGAATAGCATCTACCTCCCAGGGTTGGTGTGAAGTTAAAGTGGATTAACATATGTGAAGTGTTTTGCAAACCTGAAAATGCTGAATAAATATTAGTGATAATGATGATGACGAATGACATCAACTTTTCCGAGATGAAGCCTCAGCTCGATAGAAGGCCTCTTTCAGATGATCTAGCAGTGCTACTTGTTTCTTTTCTTTTCCTTTTTTTTTTTTGGTCTCTTTGTCTCTTTTGTCTCCAGAGAATAAGTCAGTGGGCAATAGCTCTTTCCCAAACACTAATAGATATGGGATGAAGCCAGAAGCATCTTTCTTGATAACATGTATACATGTAAGCATGCAATATAAATGTACATGTTGACTCCATTGAGCCTATTGCTCAGATTAGGGCCACAACATGATCAAGAGTTTGTGACTGAAACACTAAACTTTAGTGCAATATTGTGATAGTGGTCTAGGAGCCTTGATTCCTGCCCAGGTCAGCACCTGATTAAGGAGTTTGCTTTCAAAGACTCAACTTGGGTCAGAATAGATCCTGGCAGAAAACTCATATGCAGAGAAATACTTTGCCCACAACATCTTAGAAACAATAAACATTTTATTATTGATTAGATGTGTCCATGTATGCCAGGTGGAATATTCCATCACCACTAGTATGCTATTCATTCTTTTGTCATTTCATCCCACAGATACTGTCCATATGCACAAGCTTCAAAAGCTTCCTAGTATTTATATTCTCTAAATATGCACCTGATGTAGTAAGCACTTTCTTTTGAATACATTGAACCCAAGTCTCACTTAGGGTAAGCATAAAATATTGCCTGCTAACTTAAGTGTTCTCTTTTGATCCAAGTATCCAAAGTTACCATTTACATTCCATAGAGGGAAGAATCTTGGTAGCACCTGATGCTTCTTAGTACCATGTAGGGGAATCAGTTACTGTCTCTCATAGAACTCTAGTGCATAACTCCCACTTCTGCTATCCTCTACAGTATGATGTTTTGAGGAACAAAACTTCTGTCCCAAAGGACCATTCTTTCACTTCATGATTTCTATTGCTTCTCATGGTTCTTCACCCCAACTTTCTTCTCTACTCCAGCAAAACAAGGACAAACAAGGCAAAGAAGATTGGTTCAATGCAAGCTTTATTACTGCTATAGCCTCAGTGTCAGTCACATGACCCACAGAAGTTAACATCTAATACTATATTAGTTTCCTATAGCTAACAGCACAGACTCAACTAGTAGTTAATTAGTGACCCTGATCATCTCTCTCAAGTAGTATCCAACTTAGCGATGGTAAAAATGTCAGTGGACTGTGAAACTGAACTCTATACACATATTCTCACAACTTTTCAGTGACAGCCCCCTTCAACACCAAGAGTTCCAACTAGTATATGGGATAAGAAGCCTCCCTGTCAATAAGAACTCTACTAGAAAATCCAATAACTTTCTGGTGACTCTCATTCTTTTGGTATAAAACTGGGTCCCAAGTCTCTAGTGTTTGCCTAGCACAAAGGGTTTGCTTGGTCTGCATATATAACAGTGGTACCTGTACGAGACAAATGGCCATGTTTTTTAATATATCATCATATTTCTCCATACATGATCTCCAAACAGTTTAGCAATCAGTCAGTCAGTCAACAAGCATTTATTAAGTGTCTACCATGTGCTAAACACTGTGCTAAGTGCTGGGGATATATAGAAAGGCAAAAAATAGTTCCTGCTCTCAGAGATCACAGTGTAATGGAGGAAACGCCATGAAAGCAACTAGTACAAACAAGATAAAAAGAGATTAAATCAGAGATAACCAAGAGAGGGAAAGCACTAGATTTCAGTGGGTCTTGAAAGAAGTCAGGAAACCCAGGAGGGGGAGATGAAGAGGGCAGAGTATTCCAGGCATGGGATAGTCAGACCAGACTAACCTTTATTGTCCTTCTGCTTCTATCTCTTCTCAATCACATTCTCATGAATGAGATCACTACTAACAATGTTAATGTTAATTCCTCACATATTTTTGTAGTAGCCACCAAATCATAGAAAAGTATTTCTCAAAAATCCTTTGGGTGTTGGTGACTTATGGGCACTTCTATCTTCTCTGAATCCATACTTACTCCTTGTTCAGACACTACATGACCCATTGATTAAACTGTTAGGCTGGCTGAAAGATACTAATCTAAAGTTGTCCATTGATAGAGGCTTTGAAGAACTGGCACATGCCAAGGGACAACTTCAGACTCAGCATATTCTAGTCAACCTAATAGTTTAATCAGTCTTTTCTGGTGTTTTTATAATTGTCTGAAGACAATGAGATCATCAAGATACACCACACCTCCATGGAGGTTATGTCCCCAGTGGCCTGTTCCATAAGGCATTGAACCCCCAAGATACCCTGGGACTTGAGTCAATATTCTTATAATACTTCTGGGAAGATGAAGGCTATCTTCTTTTGTCTTCACCTACCACAATACATAATATTTATCATGCAGTTCTAATACTGAAACCACTGGCTACCTAGCAGGACATCTTAAAATTATGACCTTGTGTACTGTTCTGATTTAGACCTCTACTTTAAACTCTAGTTTGTATCTTCTTAGTCTTGGTCTTGAGTTAAGGGGATGTCTACCCCAAGCATGTGAAGACTTCCCACAGTGTAATGGACAGATGACAACAGTTTGTTCCAAAGGCCATGAAGGTGGCTGAAGCAGGTACTATGGGGCACTTAGAGCTTGGTCAAACATCAAAGACACCAAGGCCATTCACTTTATCCTGGGCCATCATCAGTCATCTTGACTTTTGTCTTGCCATTGGACTTTGATGACTGGAAGATAGAGTAAGATTTTCTACAACTCTACCTCACTCAAATCCAATTCACACACAAGTCAAGACATCACTGTGTGATGTCATTGGTTCTCTTTGAAAATGAAGAAGAACCTCTAATATGGTCATTATATACGCTAGACAATTTGATGATGTCACTGACAAATAGTTCTTTCAGAGAGTTTCTGAGCTCTTTTACATCAGACAGGGAAATCTTCTCTTGAAATGAACAGGAAACATTGAGGCAGATTGTGTGCACTGCTCCATAGGCACACCCCTCTTTCTATTCATTTAGTGGGGGAAAAAAAACTTTATTATTTTCACTGAATTTCTTCCTCCTTTGATCCTTCCACGCTCTAGAGACCATGAGTCACAAAGAGTGGGACTTCTCTAGCTCCATTCTTAAAGTGGAAGATTTAGTGTTTCTTTGATACCTGCTGCCACCATTGGTTTCTATATTCCTGTAAGTTTCTTCAAGTATGCATAGATTGCCAAAGCGTTCAGCTAGGGAGCCAGAGTCTGTGATATTCTGCTGGTATTTTGTACAGACAGGAGTTGGTGCCAAACAATGGTGACACAACAAAGTTGTTCCCCAGGTGTAGACACACCAAAGTCAGTATTCACTTTCTCACATTCACCCATCACTTCTTTAGAGAACATAAAACTCACATTAATGCAGTTCAAATATTTATTGTCATTCTCACCCAGCCCCTAGAGGGTGGATGATATCAGTATACCTTATGTCCATACCCCTTATGTAGATCTAATTACATCATTTCCCACCAATGTTCTAGTGCCTAAATAGACATGTAATTTACAGCATGCAGAAGTAGATAGAACATCTGGGCTTTGAGTCAGGAAGACTTGCATTCAAATCTTAACACAGATACTTAGTAATTGAGTGACCCTAAAGAAGTCACTTAACCTCTATGCACCTCAGTCTACTCATTCAAAAAAATGAAGACTTAGTAGATCTAAAGTCCCTTCCAACTCTAAATCTATGATCCTATAAATGCACTATTGGCTTAAACAGTTTACAACAATGCCTTGTTTGGTCCTTTCTATGCTATGGAAAGTACATCACGTTGCCAAAATTGTCTATCGACACATAGCTAGCACTCTAGATATCCTTGTCTCACTATGTGTTAGGTATGCTGATATAAATAGTCTGCTGTAATGAATCTAATTCCATTATTTTCCACAAATATTTCAATGCCCAGGTAGAAACGGCGTGAATGTTATCTGAAGTAATACACAGCAATACAATAACTCTGAAATTTGACCACATAATCACATAAATTTGTAAAATAACTGATCTGGCCTATAAAATCAATAATGATTATAACTTAGGAAAGGGGGAATAGATATATGCGTATGTTTGTGTGTATACATATGTACAGATATATGCTTACATATTCATACATGCATATACACATATATGCAGAAATATGTATATGACATGCATTTAATTATCAATTCTCTGGGGGAACCTGTGTTTCATTGTGGAGCCACTCAGCTCTATGTCTGCTTTGGTGGATAGGGATTCAATTTAGGGAAATCTCAGTGAAGAGTTAAGACATAAAATTCTCATCTTGGTTCTACTAGCTTGCTAAGTGATTTGGTGTAAATAATTTCATCTCTCTTGTGCCTTCATTTCTCCATTTGCCAAATGGAGAATGATCTCTGCTATCATTCCCTCATAAGACCTCCTGTATAAAAGTGCTTTGAAAGAAGAATAATCTAGAAAGTGACAGTATCACGGGGCCTTGCAAGGTGTAGATGTTTGAGAAGTTTTCTTAGATGAAACACAGGCAGGCAGAGAAGTGTGATATGTTTACTCTACATTTGAAACTGGTCTCAGATGCTCAGAGTTAGTTCTGGGGCCAGAAGTAACAGGATAACTAAATGGTGGGGGGAAAAGAGAGAGCCTCAGGCTTATAGCTCAGTTGTCAAGGTCTTCATATTAACATCATATCTTCTTTTGTTCGGTGGAGGAATTGAGTTCTGACCCTCAGGACAAACATCATTCAAATGGAAAGCAGCTCTATAGCCTATATTCACAGTCTCCTTCACATACGCCCACCCTCCCACCAAATCAATGCTGACATGCTGGAGAGATTCATCAGGTCTGGATACACCTGAGTCACAGTATCTACCTTCATGTTGACAACCAATACTTCCTTAGAGAAATTCAAGTTCACATTGATGTGATTCCAATGTGGATGATCTTTCTCAGTCATCCCACAGAGGCCTAGTCCATACATTTAGCTTATCTGCCCAGATAGTTTGCTGGTTTCTGGCCACTGTGCATGCTACAGAATCTTGGAGCCACAGGTGAGACTTGTGTGAAGGTGGACACCAAAGATGGATGAGCAGCCCTGAAAAGGGCTTGGCAAGTCCTCACTCCAGAGGTGCTAGTCCTCCCTAAACACCCCATAGACCCTGGTAAATTATGTTTGCAGATGGCCTAAATCAAGTTGAGGGTAACTGATAGACCTCAAACCTGTCAGTGTGTTAGGATAATGCCTATCCCAAGAATGAGAAGACTTTCCCTGGCAGAAGGGACATTTGTTCCTATGACCATGAAAGCAACTAAAGCAGGCACTGTGGAGCACTTAGAGCTTGGTCAGGCATAGAAGACACCAAGGTTGTCTACTGCATCCTGAGCCATCACCAGTCATCCTGACCTTTGTCTTGCCACTGGACTTTGACGACTCTAGAAGAGAGCATGAGGCTGACAACTTTGTGCCACTCTGCCTCACTTAAATCCAATTCAAGCATGAGTTAAGACATTACCCTATGATGTCATTGGTCCTCTTTGAAAATGAAGGGCAAACAAGAACATTCCACACATAGCCTATGGAGATATATTTTGCAAATGTCTTTCATAAAATAACTGGAATACAATTGTCAACTTGTCTAGGGCAGTAGCTCAAGTTCTAACAATTTTGTGAATCAACACCCCCACAAAAGCATAGCTCATGATCCCCAACTGGCATATTTACATTTACAAGTCAGCCAGAGGACACAATAGTTCAAACAAATGCACTAAATAAAATGGTATAGTAAATAAAATAACAGGAAAAGATCCCCACACACACACTCACACACAGAGACAGACAATCCTTTAAGTTATCATAAGTTCAACTGGGAGAGGGCCCAGTTAAAAAACACATGTGACCAGAGCATATGCCTGGAAGGCACATATTTAGGGGCAGGCATGACAGGCATATGCATGGCAAGTGGAATTCATAACAATGCTGTAGGGTTTCTTATGTCCTGGGAAGATGATAATCTTCCTTTTTGATCTCCAGTTCATTAAACTCATGGTCACTAAGTTTCTCTCTGATACTATCTTCTGGGTTTCAGCTCTTCAGAAGAATATTCTAGGCTTCCTTCTGCTAAGGTGCAATGACTAGAAAGCCTCTTAATAACAATTGACTGGTAACTCAATTTCATAACCAAGGATATGAGCCGCCTCATCTAGCTAAGAACAGCTGACAAAAGTCAGCCAGGTTACTGGCTATTCTTTCAACTTCTTATTTCTGGCACTAACTTGAAATCTGTGCTCATAGACAACTATTTGATTTAGCTCTAGAAAATTCTTTGTAATGTACATTTAATCCATAAAGGAGATCCTGTGCTCTCAAAATATATTTCAAGAACTTTGAGAAAAAACAAACAAACAAATAAGCAGGAATTTATTGGCCTACAAATGTATTTGAAGGGCAAAAAAATAAGCATAGAAGAAAAGTTATTGCCCTCTACTCTCTTGGCCCATATTCCTGACTTGATTACATTAAAGGTATCAACAGCAACAACAAAATCCTGGCTTTTGTGCTATATTCTGGTCAGTGCAAAACTTCACTGTCCCCTATTAAAATAATTACTAACCCAAAAGGCAAATATGTAAAAACATGAAAAAGCTGAGTGTCCTGAGAAAAATGTGTACTTCTTTTGAACTTCAGGAACCCTTCTTACAATAACCTGCATTTGCTGTATAACACAGTCTAGTAATATCACCAACACCAGTAAACATTTACTAAGTGCCTATTACATGCATGGGAGGCACCATGAAGTAGTGGGTCGAGAGCTGACCGTGATGCCAGGAAGACTTGGGTTCAAGTCCTGCCTCTAATACCTACTGACTGTGTGACCATAGACAAGTCACTTCAATGCAAAAGGCAAATCTTTAAAACCATGAGTTGCAAAGAAGGTACTAAAATATCCTGGACAGAGGGAGTTTTGTCCTCTCAAAGTTCCTTCTACCAATGACATCACAGGACCAGTCCTTCTCCCTGCTACAATCCTGGAAGGTAGGTGCTATTATTATCCCCGTTTTACAGATGAGGAAAATGAGGCAGACAGAGAGAGGTTAAGTGACTTGCCCAGGGTCACACAGCTAGTAAGTGTTTAAGGCCAGATTTGAACTCAGGTCCTCCTGATTCCAGGTCCAGGAACTGCGCTAGGTGTTGGGGACACAAGGACAAAAATGGGACAGTCCCAAACCTCAAAGAGTTTGCATTTTATTTCAAAAGATAAATATGCAGAAAATGTACAATGAAAATAAAAAAGTTACTAAGAATTGAGAGGATCAGGGAAGGCTTCATGGAGGAGGTGTAACTTGAACCTCAAAAGAAGACAATGTTTCTGAGAGTTAGAGTTGGGGGGAAAATGCTTTTGTATTTATGGGAATGGCTTGTGGGGATGTATAGTTGTACAGTAGGAGAAGAGTGCAAGATTTGAGACAGAAGACATGGGTTCCAATCCTAAATCCGCTACTTACTATTTGACTAACCCTTCCCCTCTTTAAGATTCAGAGGTCCCATCTAAAAAATGAAGGGAATGAATTGTATTTTGTCTCACATCTCCCCCAGCCCTAAATCCTATGAATTTTTCAAATAAGTAAAAAGAGAAATTGCTTTCATGCTCTGGTAAACCAGAATGAGAAGTTTTGTGTGTTTGTTTTTTAATAGCTTCTCAAATCACGCCATATTTGTATATCCACTGATTAGCACAATACTCGATACACAGAAGGACTTAATAAATGCTTCTTGTTCACGCATTCATCCCCTCACTCATAAATATGTGCTAGCCTAATTACTCTAGTATAAGGCTCACTTTATTGATGTCGTCCCTATTCTCTAACATTACATCATATCCTGCACTATTTACCAGCTTGTGATATTTCTTCATTGTTTCTCTACCTCTTCCTTTCTTCATCTCATACTCCTCCCACAAAATGCTAAATGTTAACCCTGATACATTACCCCCACCTCCTTCATCCTAGGTAAAAGTCTACACCCTGAGCAACCTACCCGTTGACTTCCCTTTTGGGAATTTCAGTTATACTTACTGTGTGTGTCCTGGGGAAGCTAAAACCTTCTACTGGACCATCCAAAGCAGTAGTAAGTGAGGGGCCACCAGGGCTGGGCCAGGGAGGGATATAGATAGGGCATCTGTGGCAACAGGGCTGAATGGAAACGGGAAGAGCAAAGGCAACAGATGACCAAAAGGAAAGAGAAGTTGGGCATGGTGTGAGGTGGGCTGAGATGAAGAAAGGGAAAAGCAGTGGACTGGGGCTGAGTTTGAAGGATAGAAGCAGTGTTGTGGACTGAGTCGGAGGAGTCTGCCCATGAGGGCTGAGAAGTTATTGAAGGACATTAAACTATCCCTCTGCCTCCCAGGGACTGTGAATGTAGGATGTAGAGCTGCTTTCCATCTGGATGATGTTTGCCCTGAGGGCCAGAACTCAGTTCCTCCCCAGCACAAAAGAAGATATGGTATTAATATGAAGATCTTGAAAATAATCAACTGAGCTATAAGCCCAAGGCTCTCTCTTCTGCTCCCCCCTCCCCCAGCATTTAGTCATCCTGTTACTTCTGGCCCCAGAACTAACTCTGAGCATCTGAGACCAGTCTCAAATGTAGAAAAAACATATCACACTTGTCTCTCTGCCTGTGTCTGATTTTTTGAAAAAAAAACAAAAAAAACAAAACAAAACTTCTCAAACACCTACACCTTGCCAGGCCCCATGATACTGTCACTTTCTAGATTATTCTTCTTTCAAAGCACTTTTACAAGGAGGTCTTGTGAGGGAATGAGAGTAGAGATCATTCCTACATTTGGCAAATGGAGAAATGAAGGCACAAGAGAGATGAAATTATTTATGCCAAATCACTTAGCAAGCTAGTAGAACCAAGATGAGAATCTTATGTCTTAACTCTTCACTGAGATTTCCCTAAACTGAATCCCTATCCACCAAAGCAGACATAGGGCAGAGTGGCTCCACAATGAAACACAGGCTCCCCCAGAGAATTGATGATGAAATGCAAGTCATTCCTCTCTTTAGAGATGTGGGGAACTATGGGTATGGAAAGGGGGATACATTGTTGAATATGCTCAACATGTCAGATAGTTTTGCTTGACTGTCATTTTTGTTACAAAGAAGAGTTCTATTGGCAAGGAGGGAAGGTCGTTGTAAAGTAACAATGATTTTTTTAAAATTCCCCCCAAGTATTAACAACAACAATGTAGCTGACATTTACATAACACTTTAAGGTTTGTAGAATATTTTACAAATATTTCATTTTATCATTACAACCATCCTGGGAGGTAGGTGTCATTATTATCCTGACTTCAGAGATGAGGAAACTGAGGGGAAAAAAAGTTAAGTGATTTTCCTAGGGTCCCACTGCTAGTATCTGAGGCTAAATTTGAACTCAAGTCTTCCTGATTCCAGATCCAATTAGGGTTCTATACGCTTCACCAATAAAATAAATTTATAAATGATATGAGAGGAAAAAAAAGGAAGAATTTAGAACATTATTTCCCAGTGTCACATAGTCTCAATGGGAGGAATCTTCTCTGAATTACTCCCAAAAAGACTGCTCTCAGCACATCTGTTTTTCCGAAGTCCACTCTACTGCAGTGGTCCTCCAGGGACTACTACTGTAAAACTACTGTTATCTGTTGGCCTTAGGTGACACAGTGGATAGAGCACTGGGCCTGGAGTGAAGAAGACATGAGTTCAAATCTGTCCTCAGACACTTATTAGTTGTTTGACCCTGGGGAAAATCACTTAACTTTTGTCTGCCTCAGGTTCCTCCTCTATAAAGTAGGGAGAATAATAACACTTACCTCCCAGGATTGTTGTGATGATCAAATGAAATATTTGTAAAATACTTTGCAAGTCTTAAAAGTACCAAATAAATGTTAGCTGTTGTTTTTTATTATTACTTTCTCTTTTTTCTTTTATATTATCCTCAGCTGGCTTCTTCCCTCTATCCAAATGCCCAAGGTGCTGAAATTTGAAAAAAAAAAGCCTAAACTTTCCCCTTCTAATTCACCCAGAAGTTACAACTTTCTTCCTAGATTTGTATTGCTAGGGATAAGGTTGCAGAACAGGGATTTTCTTTTATAGAGGCTTCCCTCTTTTGCCTCGGAGTTTAACTGCCTCTGCATAGTTACAAGAAGTTTACCAAGGAGAAAGGCTTTAGCAATAAACACTCCTTTCACTGACACTCAGTCCAAGTTGCTCCCCACTTCCTTCTCCCTCTTCTTCATGAAAGCCAAGTAGCACTAACCCTCTTCCCAGATAGGGTGATTAAAAACCTCACCGCAACCCTAAGGATAGTCTTAGTTCTCAATATTAAGTACCAACATTCTTCCCAAAAAACACTCCAACTTGACCCTAATTTGTTCTCCTTGGGTGTGGGATGGAATTATTTGATTTTAAATAAGCATTTATTAAATACCTACTAAAGCAAGTCATTGGACTAGATTCTGGGAAGGTACAAAGGCAAAAATGAAACAGTGCCTCTCCCTAAGGAGGTTGCACTTTCCCAATGCTCACACTCCAAACCAAAAAGATTGGCATCATTGTTCATAAAAGGAGCCCAGCAAGTAGGAAGAGGTATGACCTTTCTGAGAGTCATCCAGAGCTTATTTTTATCCCAGAGTGCCCTCCATTGTTGGGTGAAGGACATGACCTCTGAGCTCAACAAGTGACTGACAATTTTATGACAAAATTGACATTTTATGTCAATAGGGTCTGGTCAATGGTGACCTGGTGATTGAAAGAAAAATGCATTTTATTGGACTCTGACTTCTTTATTTCTCCTCCTTTCATCCTTACAGATACTTTCTACCTTGTCTCTAACCTGAAACAAATTATTCCTCAGGTTCTCATTCCTTCAGAAGAATCTTTTTCTATCAAGTGCAGGAAACTTTCCTTTTGATATCAAAAGCCACTGGCACTAAGATAAAGTATCAACTGATTGGCTCATACAGAAAAGACTTCTAGGGGATATAATAGTTGTCACAAAATTTTTGAAGGGTTATTATAGATGGGAGAGGTGAATAAGATATATTTTATGTGGCTCCAGGTGGCAGAACTATGATCAATGGGTAAAAATTGGAGGGACATAGATTTTGCCTCAGTATAAGGAAGAACTACTTAATACTCAGAATGGGTCAAAAACAGAATTTGTTATCTCTTTAGATAGTGTTACTGGAATTGTCCTAGTTATAGCTGGATAAGTATTGTCAGGCATATTTTGTTTATATGTCTTTCTTTTCTATTGTTTTTGTATCATAGAATCATATCTTTTCTCATCTGTTACAGTTTGTCAGCTGGTAGACCAGATGAAATACTGGGACATGATTTAATAACAGGGAGGCTGGATTTTCTCTGTAATATTTTTGGTTGCCACTAGAGGGTAGTAAATGCAGAGACATCACTAGTTCTTTTTTCCTCCACTATTGCAATAACCTGGAGCAGCTAGGCGGTACAGTGATTAGAGCTTGAGGCCTAGAGTCAATTAGACTCATTTTCCTGTGTTCAAATCTGGTCTCAGATGTATACTAGTTGAGTGACCCTGGGCAAGTCACTTCACCCGGTTTGCCTCAGTTTTCTCATCTGTAAAATGGGCTGGAGAAGGAAATGGCAAACCACTCCAGTATCTTTGCCAAGAAAACCTCAAATGGGGTCATGAAGAGTTGGACATGACTGAACAATAACAAATAGCAATAACCTTCTGATTAGATTCTCTCACTTCTCAGGTCTCTCCTGACATTGATCTATCCTCACTCAGCTGTCAAAGTGATTTTCCTAAGGCTCAGGTGTGACTATTTCACATATATTCCCTCTATAAACTTAAATGGCTCCTTATTACCTCTTGGATCAAATATAAATTCATCTGTTTAGCTTTTAAAATTCTTCACATTGAAGCACCTTCCTGTCTTTCTAGTCTTTTAACATAATACCCTCTTCCACACACAAGAGTTAGTACAGTCATATTCACCCACATACTGTTCCATATGTGGAACAGGCCATTTCAGTTCATCTCTGTGCCTTTGCACTGGTTCTCCCTTATACTCCCAGCATTCTCTCTCTTCATCTCTATCTCTTTGAATTCCAAGTTTTCTTTATGACTCAGCCAGAGCTGCCACTCTCCTGCAGGAGTCTTTTCCTAACCCCAGCAGTGGCTAGTGTCCTCCCTACTGAGGCCATGTTCCATTTCCTCTTTACTTAACTGTATGTACTTGTGTATCTGTGGTCCCCTCCATTAGAATGTAAGCTCCTTGAGGGCAGAGCCTGTTTTTGCTTTTTCTTTATCTCTCTAGTGGTTAGCACAGTACCTGGCACATAGCGGGTACTTTAGATGCTTGTGATTGATCTCTCAGTTGCCTGTTCTTTTTTCTCCCTTTTTTGTTAAAAAATGAAATTAAATATCCTCTTTTAAACTTTCTTCAGGTGTTAACATGCTAAATACTAATGATCAATATTTAGCAGTAAACACCTAATATGCTAGATGTAAGCAGATGCCACAAGCACTAAGAATTTTCCCAAAACATAATATATAACACACATTAGATATTAGAGAGAATATATGTATGTGTGTGTGTGTATGCATAAAAATGTTTGTTGATGTCTTTTGGTTTTTACACCACAGTCATTTCCTTATGTATACCCCTTCACCATCACTGAAACTTCTTCCATAACAAAGAAATGCAATTAAGTAAAACTGACTAGCAAAAGTGACCAGTAAAATGACCAAATCAGAGAACATATGCAACATTCCACATCCATAGTCTCTCACCTCCTTATTGAGTTTTACCATCTCTTATCTAGGGATGAGATTGATCATTGAGTTCATTTGAACTCATTTCTAATTAACATGTTGGTATGTTTTTTTTTTCCATTTACATTATTGAAATCATAGTGGGCTTTGGCCAGGCTGCTGTGATCTCCACTGAATCTCAATTGTTATTCATAGAACTAGATTTAAAAAGTTCCCCAAGGACTGCAAACATAATAAGAATTTAACTGGGTGATATGGTCACAGGAAAACAGAACTGATGGGGAGGAAAGTCCAGGAAAATGCAGTCATAAAATTTATGAGTAGGAAAATACAGGACCATAGAGCACAAAAATATGTAGTCCTAAGACACGTAAACCCTGTTTTGACAATTGCTTATGGGACCCCCAATGTAACATAGCATCCAGCATTTGGAGGATAAAACAAATTTCTTGGAAAGGATTATTGTTCCCCTGACTTGGTACTGAAGATATTGTATCTATGAGAAAGTAGGAAGGCCTATCCCACAGAACTTTTATTTTATACCCAGTATTCGCTATTGGTCTTATAGCTTTTAATAATATCCCTCAAACAAACAAACAAACAAACAAACAAACAAACAAAAACAATTAGGACTATTGTAGTCTGAATGTTCATTCTATGAAGCTCCTTAGGGTGAATTCAGTAGTTCAGTAGTGTGTATGCATGTATATGTATGTATGTGTATATGTACATA